CATTGTTTTCCTTATTAATATTTCACTGCAGTAACTAGAGTAGCACCCTCCAAAAGAACTTTCTGCAAGTTCTATGCTGTCCGATATAGTAGCCACTAGCTGCATGTGGCTACTGAGTACATGAATATGGCTAAAGCAAATGAAAGAACTGTTAATTTTATTGAATTTTATTAATTTGAACCTAAATATGCACCTGTGGCTACTGGTTACCATATTGGGCAACAAAGTTACAGAAAAACACCATCCCTTCACTGTGGTCGACATTTCACGAATCTGTTGTATCTATACGTACCTATCTATATGTAGATACAGATTTCAATGTAGGTTCTCATGTGTGAGGGTGCGGGGGTGTGTGTGGAATGTAAAGAGCTTCTGTCTCCAAACAGGAAAGTTCACGCTGGGTAGACAGGAAGTCAAAATGAGACCAAGCCGAGGAGCTGGGCTTGGGGACTCAGACAATCCTCCCTCCACTACGTATTCTTAGCAAGTTACTTAGCTCTAGGCGTCAGTGTCCTGTCTGCAGAATGGAAATAACCACTATGCACTGGGCGTTAAGTGCCTATAAAATCCTCACCGCGTGGCACACAAGTAACCTAAGTCAATTATTCTATTTGCACAATAGCAACGACTAAACTTTACAGGCAGCTTTAGTTTTCAAAGACCTGACACACACATTCTCTCTTCCCGTCCTTGCACTGGCCAGTGAAGACCACGATTTCAGTTCCCCTTTTTATTTTTACACACAGAGAAAAACGAGGCTCAGACGAGGTGCAGGCCTTCAAGGTCAATGGCAGAGCAAGACTGGGTGGGTGGGCCTTTCACTAGCTCAGGCCAAATGAGGGTAAAGGCTGCTTTTCTAGCCAAGCGTTACCTGTCGTGACGGCGTTAGATTCGGGGGCTCCAGTCACCTCTTTGCAGGCTACGGAGCCCATTTAAAGCCTCAAAACAGCCCGTCCAGGGAGGCTCACGAAGCCATCACAAAGATTTGAAAACTGAGCCTCAGACAGACGAAGGTGAGATTCAAAACCAACCATGACACCATGCACTCTCTCTACCCAGTCCATTAAAACACCCCAACTTTGAGGACGGTTAACATTTGATTGATTTAGGGATCATGTGCAATTTAAATGAGGGTGCTGCTAATTCTTGGGCTGACCAAGGCCTGGATAGAAGCACAACAGCCAACCCCAGGGGATCTAGTGACACATGCCCTGCTGTTGGTGAGGGGCCTCCCCCCTACACCCCTTTGTCCCCTAACTGGGGCCTGCCCTGCTCCTGGTGTCCTCAGGGCCTAGCAGAGTACATGGCATCTAGCAGCAGCTGGGTACATTTCTGAATGAATACCCATCACTACGAAAGAGGGGGAACCTCCAAAGACACTGCTGTACTTGATCAGCTACTGATATTGCTCATGTACCTGACGAGAAGACCCCAGATTCTGAAACATCCACTTTTAGGTATGTCCATAATAAAATGATCATTATTCTTTGCAAACCACGTCTTCTTCAAAACTACTGGCAAAGAGGAAATCTCTGAGCCCACTAAAGGGGCAAAATGCACACCAGCAAATAAAACACGAAAAATCTCCATTTTCGTCTGACAGGTGGTGTGCGTTCACTTAAGGGCTGGAATCCCTTCAAGGGGTCATTTTAATAAGTGGGTGAAGTGACGAACTTCAACTTTTATCTCTGGATTAGCTACCCAGCTGGGTGGTTTTCCACGAAATTCTGCAGCACATTTGCAACATTAACATCCTTTAGAATAAAACCATCATCGTAATGTCTTAATTGTTCCATACTCTCAACACTGTTGAGTTTTTTCTCTTTTTTTCTAATCGCGTCTATTCTAGGAATGACTAGTTGTAAAGTTTTCATAAAATCGTCAAGAACCATTTGCTACCCCGAAGCCACAGCTTGGGACCTAAGAAGGGCGCTCCCCTTCCCCTCCCCCTCCCCCTCCCTGTCTTGAGTCCTGCCCCTCCCCTTCCAGGTTAAACCAGGGACTCGGGCGGCGCGGCAGGAGAGAAAAACATCCATAAGTCAGGTCAAGCCACATGTGACAATGCAAAGTAGAAACAGCTGCAGATGCAATAGGGGATGGGTTTTTGTTTCTTTTTGGGTTTTGCTCCACAATATCACCGACTAAGAAAAGAAAAACACCTCCGATTCTAACTTCGTGGAATTTCCAATGCTGTTGGCTTGGAGAACTCGAGGCCGGCGGTGCAACGAGCGAGCCTGGGCCGGGGCCTGACGGCGCACGGGCGACGCACGCGAAGTCCAGGCCCTATCCCAGCGCTGGCGGGCCTCTAGCGACCCCAAATTGTCACATACCCAGCGACCAACGACACCCGGAGGCGCATCCCCCACCCCGTTCGGAGCACCAGCTCCCCAGTGGGCAAGGTCCCCTGGGGAGCAGGGCCCGGGACGCGGATCTGGGGGCACCCCCTTCCCCGAGCCCGGGAGCAACAGGTCTGCACCCTCCCCACGCAGCGCTCTGCAGACCCCGCCTGATCACGGGTGCCCTCTTCCCCACCGATGTTGCCCCAGGCCCGGTCCCCTCGCTTGGGCCGGCGGTGCTCCCGACTTCCTTGACAGTTTCAGCGCCTCGGAAACTGATCAGCCGCGGGCCCCGCGCCGCCTCGCCAGCCACTCACTCCTCTGCGCGCTGCCGCGCCTGCACCCGGTCCGGGGCGGGCCGGCCGGCGCGCGGGGATGAATGGGGCTCCCCTCCCCCACGGGGGATCCCGCGGCGACGCAGATTCGCCCCGCCAGCCCCGAGATCGGCAGACAAAGGGGCACCGGGGGCGAGACCCGGCGCTTCCCCAAACTTACTGGCCGCCTCCCCCTCCCCAAAACAAAGGAGCCCCCCTCCCAGCCTCTGCCCGCCACCGACGCGCCGGCACTTTGGGGAGCGGCCACCTCGGGGTATTGTTCAGCCTGCAGGGAGCGCGCCGCACCCCAGCCCGAGCCCCAGGGACAGTTGGAGACCTACTCCTCCAGAGCCCCGGCGGCGGG